TCTATCTATCTATCTATCTATCTATCTATCTATCTATCTATCTATCTATCTATCTATCTATCTATCTGATATTCTCCTTGTACGCGGCTGAGCTTGTCAATTTTAAAATACACACACACACACACACAATTTTTCCCAATGCTCCAATGTTGTCCCCCCAAAAATTTTTATTCCCACGATCCTTTTGTGGCCCCCCCACAGACCTCCCCGGAGCCCAAGGCGGCCTTCGTCCCCGTCCTCAACATCCCGCGGTGTGACTTCCCGCTGCGCACCGAGAGCACCTTCCTTCTCCGCCAGCAACGTATCCCCGAGGACGTCCTCGTTTTCCGGGATGAAATCGACCTGGCGGGGCTTCAGAAGGCCGGGCTGCTCTCCATGACTCTGGTGGATCACCACATCCTGCCCAGGTGGGCGGTAAGCGGAGCGGCTCCCCACGCAGAAGGGGGGGGGGGAGAGACACTCGGCCCATCCGTTGCGCTTCTGCCTCCGGGGTGGAAATCCAGGGATCCGTGATGGCGAGAGAGCTGCGGGTGGTGGGGTGGTGGATCCCTCAAGATCCCTACGATTTGAGAGCCCTCGTGTCGCTGCCTCGGAGGCCAATCGGAGCAGCCGAAACAACACAGGCATTTCCTCGAGTTACGACATTCCTTTAGTTACGACAGCCCTGGAAAATGTCATGTCGCGGTTCCAAACGGCCTCCGAAAAATGTGTGGAAAACGGTCATAAGTCGCATGTCAGGCCTCTTTTCTCTTGGACTTACGACCGTTTTTCGCACTTAACGACGGTTCAGGCACCCCCGGGGGTCATGGGATCAAAATTCAGGTGCTTGGCAGCTGACTCATACTTATGAGGTCCCTGGAGACACGTGATCCCCTTTGGCGACTGATGAGCAAAGATTCACTTAGCAACTTGGCCAGAAAGGTCGTAAAGCGAGGCAAAAATTCAGTTAACGAACGTCTCACAGCGAGTGGTGTTTTCAGCTCAGTTGTGGTCCCAATTCGAGGACTACCAGTTACTCAAAGTCCCCCCAGCTGGGCTCCCTTCCCTAAAACCTCCGCCAACTTCGGACGGGCCCCTGTTGGCAGGGGCTGATGGGATTGGGAGTCCTTAGCCGCACCTCTTCTGGCCCCTTTCCCCCCCCAGCAAGGACTCAGCGCTGGAGTCCTCCGTGGTGGAAGTGATGGACCACCGACCCCTGGAGTGGATGAGGCCCCCTCCTTGCAGGGTGACGGCTGAGCTGGTGGGCTCCTGTACCACCCTGGTGGCCGAGAGGCTCCTCCAAGCACCGGTGCCAACCTTGGACGGGCAAATTGCCGCACTGCTCCACGGTGAGAGCCAAATTGGGCGAATTCACTCCCCCCAAAACCGCGCCCGTTTGAAATGGGCAGGAAAATGCAGGGAAGATGGCCTGAATGGGCGGGCGGGTGTGTGTGTGTTCCTCCTTGGGAAAACCCAGTGTTTCTCTCCCTCACCCCCCCCCCCCCAAGGAACCATCTTGCTGGATTGTGTGAACATGGCTGTGGAAGCCGGCAAAGTGACGCCGAGGGACGCCTTTTGCGTCTCTCAGCTGGAGTCCTCGTTCTCCAAGCTGCAGCCACGGAACCGTGTCTTCGACGCCTTGCAGAGAGCCAAGTTTGATGTTTCAGGTGGGTGGGTGGGAGGGTCCGGGAGGGGCGTTTCTTTTAAAAGACCCAGNCCAGGTCTGGACTTCAACACCCAGAATTCCCCAACCAGGTCTGGACTTCAACTCTCAGAATTCCCCAGCCAGGTCTGGACTTTAACTCCCAGAATTCCCCAGCCCGGCCTGGACTTCAACTCCCAGAATTCCCCAGCCAGGTCTGGACTTCAACTCCCACAATTCCCCAGCCCGGCCTGGACTTCAACACCCAGAATTCCCCAGCCAGGCCTGGACTTCAACTCCCACAATTCCCCAGCCAGGTCTGGACTTCAACTCCCAGAATTGCTGACCGGGGAATTCTGGGAGTTGAAGTCCAGACCTCTTAAAGGGGCCACGCTCGAGAAATTCTAATTTATGCCAAGGCCTGGGGCCATGCGGAAGCCTGTGATTTCATCTCGCCCCCCTTCCCAGAGCTCTGCCCCCCCCCCCAACCCAACGCCGGGAAAACGAAGCCGCCCACCTGGGGATCCACCAGCCAGCCGTGATATAGGGGGACGTTGAGGAGGTCAAAAACGATGCACTCGGGGGTGTACTCGAAATCCGAGACTCCCGTGAATCTCACGTTGACGTCCAGCCCTGTGGAGAGCTTGGAGAGGACCGTCATGGCGTCGTTGACGTTCTGCGCGGGAAGAAAAGCCGACATTTTTCTCAAAGGGGCCCCGGAAACCCTGGGAAAATTGGAGACCCCAAACGGCCCTATCGTGGATATGCCCCGAAACAAACGGACTCACCTGCTGGAAGTTGAGCTGGACGGCCTCCGCTTGGTCCTGGGGCTTGATGGACAGGATGCAATCCCCTGCAGGGGCAGAAATGGGGAAGAGACCCCCGCAGTTAGGAGGAGGCCTGTTCAAAAGGCCTTCCACTGGGGGGGGGGAGAGGATTCGGGAAGGCTGGTGGTGCAGAGGGGGGAAAAAAGAGCGCTGGGAGGAGAGAACACGCAGCAAAGAGAATCCCAGGGCTGGAAAGGTACCCCAGAGGTCTTCTAGCCTGACCCCCCCCAGCTCAAGCAGGAGACCTCATCACGCCCTCTTCCTCGTGCCTATTTGAGGGAAGACCCACAACTGCCCCATTCTAGCTAAGAAAGACCCACCAACCTCCAAAAACATTCAGGATTACTTGGTCATCCGAAGGCCAACAATCATCGCTCCCCTTGGGCGCTCCCTACGCTGGCCTACCTCGCAGGGTGGTTGCGCGGAAGGGGGGGAAAAAAGGGAGGGATGGAAGGAGATGCTGGAAGGTGGGTAGTGCCCACCATCCTGCCCCGGGAGTGGAGAGGTGCCCAACTGCGATGTGGGTTCCTTACCGAGGTAAGCCATCAATTCGTCCGAGGTGACCACTTCCTTTTGGGCTGGCAGCTTCACCTGGGAAGGCGGGAAGGAAGAATTTGAGACCCCCCACCACCACTGGTTCTCGGCCTGCATGTAGGGTGTCCACTTCCCCGTGCCCCTTTTTACCTTCCACTGCAGGAAAAGAATATTCATGATGGCCAGAAGCGGGCAGGGACCGTTCTCGCTCTGCATAATGACGGGCGTCCTTTTGCCTTTCCAGGTGATCCATTTCACGCAGTAGAAGTCCGGCCCCTTGGGCTGGCTGGCTGGAGACGGGCGCGGCTTGGGGGCATCCTCCGCTGGGTCGCAGCTGGTGGGCTCCGGAGAGGCTGGCACAGGGGGCGCTTCCTCGGTTTCCAATGGGGGTCCTTCCTTTTGCACGCCTTCGGTGGCTTCTACAGTGGGAAGCCGCCCATCATCTTCCTGGGGGTCGCCATCCTTGGCGAGGTGGGCTGGGGTCTCCTCTGCAGCCCCCGCAAGGAGAGCAGAATCAACCACCTCCTTGCCACCCACGCCGGCCTCTGTGGGCTCCGGGGGCCCAGATTCGGCGGGCTCCGTCTCCCTCTGAGCTTCTTCTGCAGTTGGCACGTCGGTCTCCATCAAGAATTGTTGTCCTTTGGCTTCTCAATTCTCAATTTTCCTCAAATAAATTTGAGGTCTTCTTCGTCGACGTGAAAAGCAAGTTCTCTTTAACAATAGCAGGAACGATAGTTTGCGTTTTAATTCCCCAACAGCCAAAAATGCGGAAACGTCACAGAAAACTTTTAACTGGGTTCTGTGTTCGCCCTTAATAATTCCTTTCCGATCTTGGCTATAAGCAGACGCCCGTTTTATAAAAATTGCGCATGGCACGAGGTTTTATTGGCTGAATCTATTTTTTTTCTCCTTTGGTTAGGCACTGATGAACATTTGATACAAACTGCTCAAAAAGTCCCTTAATTTATTTGGTTTTTCTTTTATTTTTTATTTTCACTTGCCAGTTCCTGGGAATGGGTCATTGAACATTCAATACTGCCATTTTTCTTCTCCCCAATTTTACACTTAATTATTTAAAGCCCAGGTGCGTTTGTGTGTCTCTCGTGACCTTGGATAAGGATCAACAGACAAAAAAACCCTTTTTTTAAAAAAAAGGAAAATGTCTTCCTTATCCCAGAAAAAGGAATACAAAATGCATTTCTTTTTGAGAGGGAAAAAAAAATATCAAAGCCACCCTTACAATAAAAGAAATTTATGNCTTTCGTCGAGCGCGATTTTGTCCTCCGCGGTTTTGTGGTGGAACCCTTTTTTCACGCAACCTTTCTCACAAAGCGCATCGTTGAGCATGCAAACCAGCCCCCTCTTTCGCCTGGTTTATTTCGGAATTATTTCCCTATCTTGGATTTGCATTTATTTTATTTTTTTCCCCCAAGCTTCACAAACGGAGCCCCCTCTCTCCGGAAAAAGGTGCGAGGCCAGCAGGCAGAAACCCCCCCCCCCCTTCTTGGGAAAAGAGCCTGTTTGGCTGGTTGCGAAGTCTCTCTCCGGCGGGGAGACTTCCTCTACCACGCAGGCGCCCCTTGGCGCTTCTGTCACTCATTAACCACAGCCAAAGGTCCAGGCAGGTGGCGAGGGGGGGAAGAGCCAGGGCAGCGGTGGGGAGGGGGGCCGGCCGGAGAGAGGAGAGGCATGATCGTTCTCACCAGGCGGCAGCAGCAGATCCGTCCGAGAGGTAAGCGAAGCAATTTGGGGGGGGGTCTTTTGTAATCCCCTTTGCCACACCCTCATCCCCCCCCTTTTCCCCGTTTTAATGAACCCGGTGCCAACAGTGGAGGGTTTCAAGAGTGGAGCGATGGATGGAGTCCATTTTAATCCCTCCTCTTCGTCCTTTGCCGATTTCTTCGAATCATCCATCCGAAGGAGAAGCCGAAGGGTAGAAAGGGGGGACCCTTTTGCGCCAGCGTGCGTGAGGCAATGCATCACAGCCTTTGTTGCTTCATTGTGGCTTTTTAATTGAAGAATTGCCCTTCTTTCATTGCTCTGCGAGGTGTTGCTGCCGGCAATTTGAAAGGGGCGACAGCCACAAAAAATGTGGATCGTCCTCCTTATTTATTGTCGACGGTGAGGCTTCCAATCTGGCTTCGGTTAAAGGCTCAACATCCCGTTTCCAAATCTCTTGTTTTATTTTGTTTTATTTTTTCTTTGTAAGGGATGTGTGGTTAAGAAATAAAGCCATTTTAATGCAAAATTTGCAATACTTTTTTTTCCACAAAGTGCATTCAGGAAGGATTATGATTTGCTCGGCTGAGATGCAAAAACTCCTCTCTCTTATCCCGGTTTATTTCGGAATTATTTTCCTACCAACCTCGCTAAGGNACTGCCATTTTTCTTCTCCCCAATTTTACACTTAATTATTTAAAGCCCAGGTGCGTTTGTGTGTCTCTCGTGACCTTGGATAAGGATCAACAGACAAAAAAACCCTTTTTTTAAAAAAAAGGAAAATGTCTTCCTTATCCCAGAAAAAGGAATACAAAATGCATTTCTTTTTGAGAGGGAAAAAAAAATATCAAAGCCACCCTTACAATAAAAGAAATTTATGCTCGTGAATTTTTTTTTTAAAAAGGGATTAAAAAGGCGATGAGTTTTCTCTACAGGTGATATCTTAAAGCTTTTCTTTTTCAAAAAAAATAAAAAATATATAGAAAGCCAAACGTGCACACACACACACCAAAATCCCAGTGACTTTTTTCAGGGCATTAACTTTTAACGGATGAGTAGAACGGAAATTCTAGGTTTCAAAGGTTGTTTTTGTCCTTGAAGCTCACCAAGAGTGTTGGAGGTGATTCCTGTTTTGTCTTGGTCAGCTTTGGGCTTTCCTTTCTCCAAACGGACGTCTAAGAAATCTACTTTTCCCCACCTTCATGGCCCAAAGCCGAGAGAGGGGTTTGTGTTTGTGGGAAATGCAGGGATTTTAACAGCCAGCTCTGAGCCTAGGAAAAGAGCCAATTAAACAAGTTAGAAAAATCTGGTTTTTTTCCCCCACAACCCTTCACCTGCCTTGCTGTCTCTCTCTATTCATCTGGAAAAGTGCCCAAATTTTGATCCCACAGCTGTTGGGGATGTTGTGACAGACAGAGGAAAGGTGGGGAGAAGGGACAAGTCCCATTTTTCAGTCCTAAACGATGGTTTGTAAATTGAGAATCACTCGTACGCAAAACCACCCACAATTCAAACTCTCAACACGTCTGACTTTTGAGGTTTTTTTTTTACAGAACCCCCTGCTGACCACCCTGGACATCTGGACCTCTTCTCCTTGCCCTGGAGATTTGGGCGCAACAGCCTCCAGATGTTTCCCTCTGCAACAACCCCCCCAAGGAATGCACCCAAAGACAGGCCTGGGGGCCGACCAGAGGTCATCCAGCTGTTCCTGGGCCATCCAGGAAAGGGCCACAGCAGGAAATGCCAGAGACGCAACATCTGGAAGAAATCATCGGCTGCTGCACCCAGGAAGAAAACAAGGCAGCCGCAGCCCTCTGATGACATTGTGTGTGTGTTTGTGTGTGTGTGTCTAAATACAGGCAAGAATTTACCTTGCTGACAAAGCCACCCAACCAGTATTTTGACAAAAACACCTCGCTGCTTTTTAAGCAACAGCTGGAAGCTTCCAGAGGGGGGGGGGAGGAGGCAGGGGAGAGGGAAGGGAGGCCCACCCCAAAGATGTTGATTCTGCTGATTCTCCCCCCCCCACTCCGCTCCCACCTTGTCGCTTTGCAAACGTGGCCCATCTGAAACGCGCTGAGAGTGGGGAGCCTTGCTCAGGCGGGGACTTCAACTCCCATACTCCCCAGCCTTGCAAAAAATAAGGGTCCCTGATCCACGCAGCCACAAAGCCCCCCACCCACCCTCCTTGCAAGGTTTAACCTGCCCCCCCAAGGCAGGAAGCCCAGCTACCCACGTCAAGAATTCAGTCCGTTCTCCTGTTCTCGTAAATTCCACAGGGTTTTTTAAAATCCCTTCTCCACTCCCCCCCCCCAAAAAATATCTCTCCCTTAATGGATCCAATGGATCCCCCCACCCCACCCCTTTGGTTCTGCCGGAAACTTTTGTTTACGAAGAAAACTGTTGCACAGCGGAGATGTCGACAGTTTTGGCTGCTTGCAAAAAAAAGGAGAGAGGCGGGGAGGACGGCTGGGTCAAAAGACGCCGTTTCCCCTTTTTGGGGTGGGTGGGAAAGAGCACCTCATTCCCCCCCATTTTGCTCCCCAACCCTGGTGGTTGGGGGGGGCAGGCAGAAGCTCAGCTGGGGGAAACCCACTTGGCAAAAGGCAGCCCTCTTTTTTTTAAGACCCACCAACCCTGCCAGGGTGCCAGGGAGGAGAATCTGGGAAGAAAGGGGTGCCAGGCAGCCGGGACAAAACCCAGGCACCCGAGGAGGCTCCGGCTCCGGGTTCGAATCCTAGTTCTCCTCCAGCAAGCAGGGTCAGGGATTGAAGGAGGACTTGGGATACGCCATACCTGGATTTTCCTGCTCCAATCCTCCTGGGCATAAATCTTGTTTTTTTTTGTGTGTGTGTGTGCCGGATAGCTTCCTCCTCTCCTTCCTTTCCTCTTCTTGCCACCCCCCCTCCCGCCCCCCCTGTGTTAGGCTGAGGCTGGGAGGATCCCAGACTGGCAGAGGGGGGGAAAAACACCACCCCCCCTTTAAAAAAAACCAAAAAATTGAAAGCCTAGCTGGGTTTTCTTCTGCCCAGCCTCGCCCCTTTCTGCAGGGACATCTATGGGAGGGGAGGAGGCACCGCAGCGGGTGCTGGGGCGTTGTAGGGGAAGCCTTTTTGAGGGGGGGGGGGAGAGAGAAAGAAAAGAGGGATCGGAAGAGAACAAAGGAAGGAAGGAAACTGTGTAGCCAGCCAAGGGAAATGAAAAAAGGGAGAATTGAAACAAAAGTAGCAGCCAGAGGAGGAGGAGGAGGAGGAAGGCTTTGCCAGAGGCTGCAAGGGACCCATTGGGGGGGGGGTTCAGGAAAGGCGCAGATCTCGCTTTGATCAAGGCAATTGGGGGGGGGCTTTGGGGGTCCCCAATGAAACAGTGAGGGTTTGCAAAGGCGGAGGGGGTCTCGTTGCAAGCGGCGCCAGGCGGTGCCTGGAGGGGGGCGCAAGGCTTTACCTGTTGAGCTTTGGGTTGGGGGGGGCTTTGGGGGGTCTCCCCCCCCCACAAACAGCCGCAGGATGGAGGAGGAAGGGGGGGATCGGGAAGCGCCCACGGGGCTCGGGGGCTGCAAAAAGTCTGGAGAAGCCCAGGACACAGCTAGGAGGGGGGGCTCCGGGGGCTCCCAGGAAGGCTGCGCAAGAAATCTGCCCAAGAATAAGGAATTGCAGCCCCCCACCCCCATCCCCACGTTCAAAACACGCGTTCAGACGGCCGTGCACGGTGCACAAAACCCCGGGAAGAGCTCCCCCCCCCATTGCACCCAAAGCTTACCGCCCGCCCTGCAAGGTAGGCAGAGCCGCCTGCGGTGACGTAGCCGGGAAAGCGCGTGCTTCAGCCACGCCCTTTTTTCCGACGGGGAGGGGAGAAGGAGGAGGAGGAGGAGGAGGAGGACACTCTCGCGCCTGCGCAGAGCGTCGGGTGAAGCCGCGCCCTTCCGCCTCCCCCCGCCGGCCAATCAGGCGCGGCTGTTCCGGCCCCTCCCGCCGCCCGCCCGCAAGCAGGTCGGCTCGACACGTGTCCGGGCGCGCTCTCCGTTCACACGTGCGGCCGGGCGGTGGGGAGCCATGGAGAGCTTCTTGGCAGGCTGCAGGGCCGCCCTTCAGGTACCCCCCCCCCGCCCGCGCGCCCGGGGAGGACTACCAGCCCCATCGTCCGCTCCCCAGGGATCTGCTCTCTCTGTCCCATCATCCCCAGCCGTTGCTGGCATCTCTGCCGGCCCGTCATCCCCACTCACTGCTTCGACAGGAGCAGGATCTGACTCCCATCATCCCCTCCCACCGCTCCCGAGGAGGCTGGACTCCAGCTCCCATCCTCCACAGCCGCTCCTGACATCCCCCACCTGCTCTGGACCACTCTGACTCCCCTCTGTCACTTCTTGGGACCGGTAGATTCTAGCTCCCATCCTCGCCAGCCGCTCCTGGAGCTGGTTTAGAATGATTCTGGCTCCCATCATCCTGCCCACCACTGCAACACTGCCGGGACCCAACTCCCATCATCCCCACCCTCCTCCTGCGAAGGCTAGGCGATTCTGACTCCCACCAGTTTCCTTATTTGGCTCTAGTTCATTTGCTGATCAAATGTAAACCCATCTCCTGCCCACTGGACTACTCCAACTCCCATCATCCCCACCACCCAACCCCTGCACGGGCAGGATCTGACTCCCATCATCCCCACCCACCGCTCCCGAGGGGGCTAGACTTTAGCTCCCATCTTCCCCAGCCACTCCTGGCAGTCCACTTGGTTTAGAATGATTCCGGCTCCCATCATCCTCTGCAACATGGGCAGCATCCACCCGACTCCCATCATCCCCACCCTCCCCTCCTGCCAAGGCTGGACTCCCACCATGTCCCTCATTGAGTTTTAGTTTATTTATTTGGGGTAATAAATCTCCCTTATTGAGTTTTAGTAAATTTTCGGGGGGGGGGGGGGGGGGGGGGGGGGGGAGGGCTTGACTGCTCTAACCTCCCATCATTCCCGCCCTGCA